GAAGGAGGAGGAGGAGGAAGGGAAGAAGGAGGAGGAGGAGGAAAAGGAGGAGACCAAAAGTAGCAGTGATTAGCAAAGTGGGGATCAAAGCCTTCCAGGAATTCCAGTATTCCTTACCTGTCTCCCTCATTCCAAGCCTCCCTTCTACCCACTGAAAACACAGTCAACAAGGCAAAGGCATTAAATCCAAGTTCACATGGAGACATGGACCCTGAGATACTCCATGGTGCTCCATGGCGAGGCTCCAAATGGTCAATGGAAAAAAGACTGTCTCCCTTTCAAAGATTCCTGCCCCTAGGCCTGAGAAAAGGTTGGAAACTTCCTGGACCCAAGTGGCGGTCTAAAAACCAGTCAAACAGCTAGCATTTATGGAGTGTTCACAATGGCCCATCTGATTCAAACCTCATGAAAACCCTACGAGGTGAGTGCTGTTATCATCCCCATTTTATAGATGGGGAAACTGAGACTCGGGAGAAACTGCAGAAGATCACACAGGCAAGCTGGCCTGAACTCAAACCTCATATTTGGATCGAAGTAGGGACCACCCGATTTTTGCAATTCATCCACTTAAATTTTAGCTTAGAAATCAGGTCTTAAATCTCTAGGAAGTCACTTTATAGAGTTTCACTTGAATTTCCCTTGGTGTTTTGTTTTATTTTGTTTTAGTTTTAGGGAGTAAACCACATACTCGATTTAAAAAAATAATAATCAAATTAATACACTGCTACATTTTTAAAGGAGAATAGTGTGCCATATTACAGTTGAAGATAACTACCCACTCTTCTCAGACTTATTATATATGTGTCTCCACTTACCTGAATGAAGTTTTACTGATAACAGGCCCTGGAAACAGGGCCCGGCACATAGTAAGACTTCAATAAATATTTAAGTAATTAATATCCTTCGAATTGGGGATCAAAATCATTCTTGCTTAAAAACAGAGTCCATCTATAAGCACTACTTACATTTTTTTCCCCTCTCCTCTACCTCTTCTCTTGAAATTGTCAATGGGTAATTTTTTTTTTAAATTACCATTCAATAAAATTGATCTTTTTCTGGTGTATAGTTGCATGAATTTTAACTTAAGTTTTATTGTTGTAATTAATATTACTCAGCGGTTGATCTGTTTTTCTCCAGCTGCTCTGTTTCTCTAGATGTGGTATGTGGGTGGCATTAAAGTTCCCCAAAGGCATCCACATCCTAATCCTTGGAACCCGTGACTATGTTAGCCTACATGACTTCTGCCGATGTGGTTACGGATGGCGTAATCGGGGAAGTATCTTGGATTATCCAGGTGGACCCAGTAGAGTCACAAGGGATCCTTAGAAGACGGGAGAGAGGCAGGAGGATCAGAGAGTTTGGAGTCAGAGACGGAGGGATGCAGCCCCCAAATGAGCCAAGGGATGTGGGCAGGCTCTGGAAAAGGCAAGGAAAGGATTCTCCACCCCTGCCAACCCAGTTTCCATTTCTGACCTCAAGAATGGTGAGATAGTAAACTGGTGCTGTTTGAAGCCACCAAATTTATGATAATATTTTTATAGCAGCAATAGGGAACCAACACACTGGGTTTGTTTTCTGATTGTTTTAAAAGTTGCTATTCTTTTTTTTTTTTTAAGATTACGTTGTGAAATGAAATCTTTTTTTTTTTTTAAGATTTTATTTGTTTATTTGACAGAGATCACAAGTAGGCAGAGAGGTGGGGGGCGGGAAGCAGACTCCCCGCTGAGCAGAGAGCCTGATGTAGGGCTCGATTCCAGGACCCTGAGATCATGGCCTGAGCCAAAGGCAAAAGCCCAACCCACTGAACCACCCAGGTGCTCCTAGAAGTTGCTATTCTGATTCACCTGTCCGGCCTTCTTCTCTTTGGCTTCTGGGTACCTCAGGTGGGCTAGTTACTTTTCTCTTTGGCTCCATGGGATTTGCGTGATGGGGGAACACTTCTCAGCTGTAGGAATCCCACAGGCAGTAGAAAGGTAGAGGGTCTCGAGGGGGTCTCAGGTCTTGTGAGCCTATGGCTCTTAGGTAAGATATAGCTGCCTCAGCCTTGAGGACAGAGAGGTTCCAGCCCACCCACTCTCTCCAATGCACTCTCTCTCTTTTTTTAAAAGATGTTATTTATTTATTAAAGATTTAACTTACTTATTTATCAGAGAGCAAGCACAGCATGGGGAGCATCAGGGAGAGGGAGAAGCAGGCTCTCCGATGAGCAAGGAGCCTGATGGGGGACTCCATCCCAGGGTTCTGGGATTGTGACCTAAGCCGAAGGCAGTCGTCCAACCGACTGAGCCACCCAGGCGTCCCTCCAACGCACTCTTGAGGTTGATGCTGAAACGTCTGAGAGTCCACATAGACCCAAACCCCAAGTCTTCCCAGATTCTCCACTCCTAGGACTTTGTCCCAGGGCTCCGGGGGGCTCCTCAGTGGTGACCAACCCACTGGAAGGGGGGGCACCTCTGGGTCTCCAGTTCTCTCAACAGATCCCAAGGCCTGACACACAACCTATGGGCCCTAAGTCACAGCAGCCCGGGGGCTCTGTGCTATTCAGGCCGCCATGTTCCCAGAATCCACCTGACACACATAATCTCACTCACCCCCCAGTAGCCTCATGGGGTGTGCACTAGTATGGTCTCCATTTTCCTGAGGAGGAAACTGAGGTCCCAGGAAGTTTACAGCCCTGTTTGAGACCCTGCATCTCTAGCTACTGAACCAGAACTCTCCCCCAGGAACGCCTCCCAAAGATCCAGCTGAATAAAACATGTCCACTGAGGACTAGCTGTGTGGGTGCCCTTCGGGGGCACACTGACACACCCACCTACCTCTGGAGGGCCTGAGTCCATCCGAACCCCTGAACCAGAGCCCCCCCCAACATTCTGCACAGCCACAGCGGATGCAACAACCATGTTGCTTGGCCGTTTATCGCCCCTGACTGCTCACACAAGGATGTTAACGAAAATCCATGGTATGCCTATTAGCTAAGGAAACATTTATTCTGGGGTTGTCAGAGAATCTTGGACAGAAAAGCTCTTCTTGACTGAGCTATGTTCACAGACATGGGTGTGGGAGCGTGCGTGCGGGTGTGTGTGCACCCGTGTGCGAATGAGCGTGCGTGTGTATGTGCTGCGTGTGTATGCACACGGATACATGTACACACACCTGCACACGCACAGAAAAACATACCTTCTGTTATCAAAGATTCTGTCGGAAGATGCTCCTGGGTAATTCTGACGCATGTGTGACTGGAAAGAGGAAAAAGAAAATTTACATCTTTTTTTTTGTCACGGCAATAAATGGTTCCTGGGTTCGTGCCCTCAAAACTGAATTTTGTTTTCAGCTGAGAGGGGTGGTGAGTGATGACTGCCTGGGCCTCATCTCTTCACCCTGCCTGAAGCCTCATAAGGGAGGTCTTTTTATCATTCCCACTTTATGCACTGAGAGAGGTGAAGTCACTTGCCTAAGGTCACACAGAGCTCAGGTTCAAATGCAATTGTGTCTGCTTTCCCAGCCTGTGGGCTACATCACTCCACTCTTCCTGCTTCCAACCTTCTCAGGTTGGAGACATTCTAACAGCCCCCCCCCCCCCCCCCACTGAGGCCAGAAGGGCAGAATCTGCCTTACTCCTTTTTTAACTAGTTTGTTCATTCCTGGGAGCCAAGGGTCTTGTCAGTTTTCTCCCATCATCACCCATGGAAGGTTCCAGAACATCAGAGCAACTGAGAAGGTATCTGTAGATTCATTTGCTTGATAGGGTCTTTCCTTCCACGGTGGTGCTTGTTGGCCTTGTTCCCAAATCAGTATGTCCCGAGGCACTAGCAGCCCCCAGGACAGGTTAGACAAAGGGTCTCCTGCTCTGAACTCCCTTAGGGCTCTCCTTGCATCTGGAATGAAATCCCAAGCCTGTGATCAGCCCGCCTGCCTTGCTGGCTTCACCTGGTACCCCGGACTCCCTCACTCCCTCAGCTCCAGCCACACAGGTCCTTCTGCTCCTCAAAGAAGCCAATCAATTCACCTTCTGCTCCGAGGCTTTTGCTGTCCCCACTGCTAGGAGCTTTCTCTTCCAGTCTCTGCTCAGAGAGGACCCTGGAGCCAACGGGAGGCAGCTCCTGCATGTTACTTTCACATCTATCTCATTCCTATGTAGGATGAGTTACTACCTGAAATTATCTGGGTTATGCATGTCTTAGTATCTCTGTCCATCTACTCCTTACTCACAGTGTCACCACGGCAGGGAGTTGGTCACTGGGCAGCAGTCTCCCCCTCACTAGCACGGGGCCTGGCACACAGTGGGGGGGGAATGAAAGCTGGGGACACAGAGGATAAGGTGGTCTCTACCCACAGCGTGTCTGGAAAATGAACTATGAGCATGAGACATGTGTGCATGGTTCCTGGCACAGAGCAAGCGCTTGGTAAGTGAAAGATGTTATTTCCTCAATCAACAAGTATTCGTTGAGCACTGCTGTGCGCCTATCATGAGCTAAGAGCCAGGGAGGGAGTAGCTGGGAAAACTGAAAAAGACCCTGCTCTCCTGACCTGACTGTTCACTGACAATGAACAAAATAAATAAGTGAATTCCACAGTATGTCAGGAAGGGATAAGTGTTCTGCAGAAAAACAAAGCAGAGAAGGGGTTCAGGAAGGCAGAGGGTGAGTGGCTATTTTAAACAGGGTGATGGGGAGGTCTCACTGAAGAGGGAATACCTGAGTGAAGATCTGAGGGAGGTGAGGGACAGAGTCTCGCAGAGGTCTGATGGGAAAACACTCCAGGCAGAGGGAAGTGCAGGTACAAAGGCCCTGGGGTGGGACCCTGATCACATCAGAGAATTGTAGCAGTCTCCTCTCTGCAGTTTTCTTTCTCAAAATTGACAAGCACAAGTGCCTGCCGCCCAAGTATTGCCGAAAGCGTGCAGCATCTTTCCCTGTGACCCAGCCGCCTGTCTCTTTAACCTTGAGTGCCTTTTTGGGTCTCATGTGTCACTGGGTGGCGAGTGAGCTCCCCTTACTTCAGAAGAACGGCATGGGCTGGGGGGGGCCTTAGGTGGTGTCCGCCTCACCTATTACTGCCAAAAGTGGTCATGGGGTTATTTTTAAACATGGAGAGGAAGTATTTATTGTTCCCCAGCTGAGGAGAGCTAGGCAGCCCGAGGGATTCTTCTTGGGAAGCAGTGCAGTGTCCTTTCCAACATGGTGAGTAGTGAGGGCTCTGAGGTGTGATGCAGTGGGGGGGGGGGGGGGGGGGGTAGGAAACAGCACCTGTGAGCAGAGGACAAGAGGGGAGGGGGCAAAAGGTGGCTTTTGAGGGCCCCAGACCCTGGCGAAAAAAGCAGTGCTTGGTATGTGCGCACAGAGGAACCCCAATCAATGCCCCGATAAGCCACAAATAACAGCAGCTCCCAGGGACTCGCAAAAACAAAATAAGAGAGTTGGCTTTTTTATGGCTTGTCTACTGACCTCTCGAGGAATCAATAACTCCCAGGGCTTGCAAAATGGGATTGAACGCTTCTAAGGATCAAATTGTAATTCTTTTCTCTTGCTCAGGCAGCTGGGGAAAAGAATCTTTTTGTTTTCACCTTTTGAACCTGCAAATTTAAAACCTGTCTCCCTGGGTTGTTTGGTTAGGTGTCCCCGCTCCCAAAGCAGGAAGCCGCCAAATCAGGGCCAGCCTGGGGGAATGGTTAGGAGCACAGACTCCAGAGTGCAACTGCGCTCTGCCTTTCTGTGACTGTGTGACCTTGGGCAAGTGACCCAACCTCTCTGAGCCCAGGCTGACTCTCCAGTAAAATGGCTATGGTAGTAGTAGTGGGGCGCCTGGGTGGCTCAGTCAGTTAAGCGTCTGCCTTCGGCTCAGGTCATGATCCCAGGGGTTCAGGGATCAAGGTCCGAGTAGGACTCCCTGCTCAGTGGGGAGCCTGTTTCTCCCTCTCTTCCCCTCTCAGTCTCTCTCTCTCAAATAAATAAAATCTTTACCAAAAAACCTCATCTAGTTGACTGGGGGATTAAATTAAATCACGTATGGATGGTGTTCAAGCATTTGCTCTATTTCACATGGGGCAGGGTGGGGACAAAAGTTAACTCCGCTCTTCTCTGCACTGTTTGCCTACGCAAGGGCAGAGCATTTAGAGCGGAGGATTCGGAGATTTCACTGCCACCCGGATCAAAGGAGAATGGGGGAGGGGGGACCAGTGGGTTTTAACACCCTGAAAAAGTGTCATTTCATAAGGGTGTCCCTCATGGTTCAGCGAGCATGACGTTTGCCCCCCTCCAATCAATCCTCCTTCTGTGCGTTATGGAAATTTTGTGACATGCATGGAAACAAAGGCGGCTGGATCCTGCTGGGGCGGGTCCGAAAGTGTTGCCTCCTTACCCGGAGACCGAGACGCATCCCCACCTCCCCTAGTTTGCAAAGGAGGTTCTGCAAGGCTTACAGCTCCACCAGAACCGGCGTGCTTGGGGACACATTATTCCGTGTCCTCTGATCCTCCGATATCGCCGTTTCGAGATGAGTGTGGGCCTCATACCCCCATTTCACAGATGAGCAGCTGAGGCCCGCTCAGAGATAGGACCCCCTGACCTAGTTCTCTAACTCCCCAGCTTCTGACTCCTTTCACTGATGCTCCCCCGCAACCCCCTCCAGGCACCGAAGAAAGCCAAGAAGAGAGCAGAAGGCGCCAATTCCAACGTGTTCTCCATGTTCGAACAGACCCAGATCCAGGAATTTAAGGAGGTGGGTGCAGCTGTTGAAAAATCCGCCCAGAGGGAGATTCCCACCTGTTAGAACGCTCCAGGCAGGAACCTCTGGGCTAGATGTTTTTAATCCTCCAAACAACGCCAGATCCCGCCTCAACATGTGCGTGGACTATTTAAAGAAATTATTTTTAATATTTTTTTTCGATCATCAAAGCAAAGCACGTTTCTTGTTGAAAATATTGGCCAGGGGGGTGGGGGGGGGGATTCAGAAAAGCGACCTACAATTCCACCACTCAGACATAATCAGTTAACATTCTGATATTGTCATTTTTGTATTATGCGTATATACTTTTAAACTATTTTGCTATTTTTCTTTTGGGCAATTCCTCATCAACATTTTCTATCATTTATTGAAACCACTCCCTACGGTTGCAGGTTACCTTTGTTTAGACTGTTTACGATTATGAATAACACATCTTTGCTTGTTTCCTAGGGGTAAGTTCCTAAAAGCAGAACCGCTGGGTCAAGGAACTAAAAACCAGACCCAACGGCCCTCCAGAAATGCTGTACTAATCCCTGCCCCCATCAGCCTTTTCAAAAGGAAAAAGTGCCTTTTTCCCCCTATACCTCCATCAACATTGGGTATTAATAGCCTAAAATATTATTTCTGCCAAACTGAGAGATGATAAAGAGTATCTCTTGGATTTTAAATTATATAGTCCCCCATTGTTGAACACTAGCCAGGTGGAAACGCCATCGCATTCTATGGGAATGAGCCTTATTAAGTAAACCTAAGTACCAATTAGGCCAAATTAAGCCACTGCCCGCAGGCTTAGAAGGATAGACTCTGAATTAATTTTCCAGCAGTCGTGATGGCTCACACTGAGTCATCCACACTCCCACCTGGGCCTTTAGAGGAAAATACACCGCAGAGCCAGGTGGGTTCTGTATCAAAAGGGAAACAATTTGGGGCTCCAAGTGGGATGCGAACACTTATACTCTTTCGTCCTCACTAATGTTCAGATCACAGGAATGTTGTATCCCATAGGCCCCCAGGGAAAGAATTCCCAGGATGAAATATTCATATCTGAACTTGAAATTGTCACCTTGCATGGAGAAGACACCATGCCCCTTCCCCCTCACCCTGTCCCAATCTCTGGAATGAGATCAGCTGCTGGGGGGCGTGGGGAGGAGGTGCAAATACTTTCAGAAACAGCTGCAAAGAACTCAAAAAACCATGCAAATGATAAGTCATTTGTAAATTGACCTGGGCATTTAAAAGGCTCTTGGGAGTGTTCATGGGTGCTCCCTGGGAAAGATTACCAGCCCCATGTTATAGATAACTGGGCTCTGATGGTAGGGGTCGGGGTGGGGGAGGGGACCTGGGTATTAACTTGATTTTTTAAATAACAATTTCGTGGAGATGTAATTCACACAATCCCAAATTCACCTTTGTATGCTACCAGCACAATTTGGTGGTTATTTACTGAAGTCGCAGAGCTGTGACTTCCAAACATTTTCCTCACCCCAGAAAGAAACCACATACCCATTAGCAGTCACTCCCCTTGCCCCCCCCTCCCCCAGCTTCTGGCCACCGCCCATCTATTTTCTGTCCCCATGAATTTGCCTGTTCTGGGCATTTCATGGAAATGCATCATACAGCACGTGGCCTTTTGCCGTGGCTTCTCTCACTCAGTGTCCTGAGCCAGGCCTCCTCCGTGTCCCGTGTTCCAGCAGGTGTCAGGCTCTCCTTCCTTCTTCTCGCTCAGGAGGAGTCCATCACGGGGCTGGACCACGGTGGACCCATCTATCAGTTGATGGTCACGTGGGCGGTTGCCAGGTTGGGGCTATTGTAAATAAAGCTGCTAGGACATTCAGGCACAGGTTTCCATGGGGACAGATGTTTTCAGTTCTCTTGGGTAAACACCTAGCCCTGGAATTACTGAATCCTATGGTAACTCTATGCCTAACATTTTAAGGAACGGCCAGGCAGTTTCCAATTTTTTATTCTCGATCTCATGGCCTTCATGCTCCCTGAATCCCAGAATCTCCTTTCCCCCAGTCCATAGCCCAATCTCTTGGGCTTCTCCATTCAACTTCTCCTGGGCTGACCAACCAACCTCCCCCTTCCACAGGCCTTCACCATCATGGACCAGAACAGGGATGGCTTCATCGACAAGAATGATTTGAGGGACACCTTTGCTGCTCTTGGTATGTCCCCCCGCCAGGCCTGCAGGAGGGTCTCCTTGTCCCACCCTCCCAAGGGGTAGAAGGGAGGACCACTGTAAAGGTCAAGAGCTTGTCATTTTTCAAAGAAACAGCTCAATCATGGCTGGCCTTTAAGACAAGCTTCGGAAGACAGCAAAGTGTTGAGGCTTTAAGTGTCTTGACATATTTTTCATTTTTCTTTTAAAATGTGTTTTTTTGTGTGATTTTGAATGCAATGCCAGCTCGCTAGAGAAAATTTGCAAAATTCAGAAAAGTATAAAGAAGAAAACTCTTAGGTCACATTCCACTGTCACATTTCAGCCTCTAAGTCTTTTCTAGGTACATCTGTTTTTTTGTGGGTTTTTTGTTGTGGTTGTTTTAAGATTAGAATCATTCTATTTTGGATTCACCTCTTTAACATCTCAACAGTGTGAGCATGAGTATATGGAGCTTTTTCAAAATATATGTGTCCAACCTGCAACCACTCACCCCTCTCCACTCCCACTCCCAGAACTCAGGGCGACCATGAACAGCTGTGCAGGCTATGCACTACACCATTCTACAGATTACTATTCATGTCTGCAGCCACTGCAGATTTTTATATTTAAAACATAAATTATCGGGACGCCTGGGTGGCTCAGTTGGTTAAGCAGCTGCCTTCGGCTCAGGTCATGATCCCAGCGTCCTGGGATCGAGTCCCGCATCGGGCTCCTTGCTCATCAGGGAGCCTGCTTCTCCCTCTGCCTCTGCCTGCCTGTGCTTGCTCTCTCTCCCTCTCTCTCTCTGACAAATAATTAAATAAAATCTTTAAAAAAAAAAAACATAAATTATCTTAAGAAGGAGTGGCTTTTAAAAATTTGCACAAAGGCACTATATGGGCTTGTGGCTGATGCTAATATCGGAATCTCCAAGGCTGTGTGGGTTACAGCAGTTATAATCAGAAAAAGTTCCCTCAGGTGATTCTGATCTGTCTCTCTCACCTCCAACTGAGAGGGATAATTTATAATATGAGCATTTCCCATTTAAGTAAAAAGTTAAAATATCTGTTTAAAATGTCCTGGGTTCTGAAGACACTATTATAAAAATAGCTAGCCCCTACCCCCATTGGGTGTTTGGGATGTTTCCAGCTGTCTGGCTATTATAAATGACACTGTGGAGAACATCTTTTCCAGTGAATCTGATCGTGCCCACTCCATCTCTGATTGTCCCTATTCTAGATTCCCTCCAGTGTAATTACGAGGGCAGATGCCACGGTCCTCAGAGTTATTTCTGACCCAGCCTGGGGGGCCCTGACTGTGTGTTTCCTGCTGTAGGGCGTATGAACGTGAAAAATGAGGAAATTGATGAAATGCTCAAGGAAGCTCCAGGTCCAATTAACTTTACTGTGTTCCTAACAATGTTTGGGGAGAAACTTAAGGGTAAGTTCATGTGTAAGTCCATATATGTATATTCGTGTATGTGTGTCTGCATTTGTGCGCGTGTGTGTGTTGTGTGTGTGTGTGTGTGTGTGTGTGTACCTTCATCTTTGGGCATGAAGGGCACCAGGAGGGCAGACAAGGGTTGGCAGGAGATGAAGGCAGAGTAACCCTGGGGGGAGAAAAAATAAAAGCACCGGTTCCCATTGCTCCAAGGCGTACCCTGAGCCAGACCTCATGCCACGCACGTTGGATGCATTCCCTTGTTTAGCCTCTAGGAGGTAGGTTCTCTTCTTATCCCTGGTCTAAGGCTCAGAGATGGAAAGCCACTTGCTTATGGCCACACAGCTAGCAAATGCTGGAGTTAGGATTCAGATCGCAGTCTTTCTAAATCTAGATTCACGTTTCAGCACGGGTTTGCTCAGAAGTGACTGGATTCCCAGCCCACTCTTTCCGATTACCAAGGTTCAGCGCTCAGAGGAAGGCAGGGCCTTTCCTTCAAGCAAAACAGCCTGGGTTTGGCCCCTCCATCTTTGGAGGGAGCTGGGCCCTGCCTCCTGGGGTACCGTGGGTCCCCGGCCACCCATGGCATGTTCAACCCTGCTCTCTCTTTCAGGGGCAGACCCTGAGGAGACCATTCTCAACGCATTCAAAGTGTTTGACCCTGAAGGCAAAGGAGTGCTCAAGGCTGATTAGTGAGTGGGATGTGTAGGGGAGGACATGGGGGTCCCCTGCTTCCCACAGTCACACCTGGTGCCAACACCTGCTGTTCTCTCTTGGCAGCGTTCGGGAGATGCTGACCACACAGGCAGAGAGATTTTCCAAAGAGGAGGTAATGGCATCTTGGACACACAATCACCTTAGCTCCTGTGTGACCCTCTTTCCTAAAACACCTCTGACCCCACACTGACAGAGACCCTGCTTCTGGGCCCCCTACCTCATTTCATTCTCTTAACCACCCTATGAAGTAGGGACTAGTAGTATTGTCCCTTTAAAGATGGGGAAACTGAGGCCCAGGGAAGTTAGTCACTTGCCTGAAAGGACACCACCAGTGCTAAATGCGGGGGCCTAGATTCAAATCTAGGTCTGTCTGACTTTAGGTCCATCTTCTTCACAGTGCTCGGAGCCCTGGTTTGAGCACCAATTTCCTGATGGAGTGAGGGTCATTTGGTGCCACATACTGTCATGTAGGTTCCGCACTGTGCAATTCTTCTGGCTGTTGTGCTCGTAAAATACACTGCCGAGTTATCTGCTGGTTTCAATTGTGTTCCAGCAGATGGCAGTAAAGTGTCCCATTGTAATATATATATATAGATATCTATCTATCTAGATAGATAGATATTTTAAGCCGTATATATGACTTTTTCTGGTAGGAGGCAGTAATATGCCTGGAAGAAGGGCACTTTTGCTAATTCGCCAAAGTCCTGTTAATAATATCAACGGCCCTGTTGATATATTTTTTTAAAGAGTTTATTTATTTATTTGACAGACGGAAATCACAAACAGGCAGAGAGGCAGGCAGAGAGAGAGGAGGAAGCAGACTCCCCGCTGAGCAGAGAGCCCGACGCAGGACTCGATCCCAGGACCCCGGGATCATGACCCAAGCCGAAGGCAGAGGCTTTAACCCACTGAGCCACCCAGGTGCCCCGGCCCTGTTGATATTATTAATGAAGTATTTAAAATAGCCCCTTCTCAGGCTTGAAGCCATCAGTTTTCACATTTCACTAAACATTGTATTTAGGTTTCCCCCTAAAACTCAAGCACTTAAAAGAGCCTGCCTTCACCTACTACCAGCTTGGTGACTTGGGTCAAGCTCTTTAACCTCCCTGTGCCTCAGTTCCCTCATCTATAAAGTGGGGAGAGTAATACAACTTTCCTGGTAGTACGCTATGAGGATTAAACCAGTTAAGATGTATAAAGTGTTGAAGTATATGACAAGGACAGTGTAAGTGTTAGCTAGTATTGGCTGAGAGGTATTTTATTTTTTTTTAAGATTTTATTTACTTATTTGACAGAGAGAGTGAGATCACAAGTAGGCATAGAGGCAGGCAGAGAGGGGGTGGGGAAGCAGGCCTCCTGCCGAGCAGAGAGCCTGATGCGATGGGGGGGCTCGATCCCAGGACCCTGAGACCATGACCTGAGTCGAAGGCAGAGGCTTAACCCACTGAGCCACCCAGGCAACCCGGCTGAGAGGTATTTTTAAAAATAACTAGTCAAGGGATGCCTGGGTGGCTCAGTGGGTTAAGGAGCTGCCTTCGGCTCAGGTCACGATCCCAGCGTCCTGGGATCGAGTCCCACATCGGGCTCCTTGCTCATCTGCCTCTGCCTGCCACTCTGTCTGCCTGTGCTCACTCTGACAAATTAATAAAAATAAAATCTTTAAAAAAAAAAAAGATAAGCTGGTGCTCTCTCTTTAAAAAAAAATAACTAGTCAATACTTTTTAAATGTGGAAATTGCATGTTGAAAAAAAAAAATCTAGATTTCTCGTTTCCCTCCAAGAGTCAGATTCCCCCAAAAAGTCTGACCTCCAAATTTGGCCGCATTTGGCTGGCTCTGCCTGGATGGGTTGTATGACTGCTTTTAGCCACAGTCCCCACCAGGCCCCCTTGCTCCCTTACACAACCTGCTCAGCCCCTTTGTGTACATGCATTTGTCATCCCTGCTTTACCTGTTTTGGACTGGGTTCCCAGGAACATCCCCGCAGGACAGCCCGTGGAGTCAGCACCAGCAGAAAAGCAAGGAAGGGCAAGGGAGGAGGGAGGCACGGAGGGAGCTGCTGACCCACAGCTCAGGCCCAAAGAGTGTCTTGGCTGTACCCCACCTCCCAGGGAGCCATGGAGAGAGGCCCCCAAGTTGGATCCCACCCTGATCAGTTGGCTGTGGGCGGCCCCAGGAAGGCCATGACCTTGGGGCTGACAGCTCTCTGCAGCAGTGGGGTGACAAGGCCTTCCTGGAGGGGGAGCTGAGCGTCGTGTCCCCACACCACCCCCCAGGCCTGCTGCCTCTGGCTCAGCATGGGGACCTGCACATGGTGGTCCCTCTTGCTTTCCCTCCCGTCACACTGAGTACGTGCTGCTGGTTCATTACAGATTGACCAGATGTTCGCTGCCTTCCCCCCGGATGTGACTGGCAACTTGGACTATAAGAACCTGGTGCACATCATCACCCATGGGGAAGAGAAGGACTGAGAGGGGCTCACCAGCCAACCCTGGGCTTGTCTTCGGTGGGGAGGTGGTCCCTGCCATCCTCTCACTTTGCCCGGTAATGCTGCCGTCCCTACTACTGGCCTGTCAGCTGTGTGGCTGCCTTGTTACCCATTTCCATCTTCTTTGCAGCCTCAGTGGCCTATAGATACCACGTGGCCACACATCCCGCAGCTAGAAATCCATCCCGAAGCTGTGTTCAAATAAACAGGATGTTGTGTATTTGTTCCTGGTGTTTCTCTGACAGAAGTGCCTTGAATAAAGAGGATCCTTTGCTAGTTCCCATGAAGGCAGAGTATGAGTGAGTGATGCCCCTGCTGTCATTATTATTGAATCCTTGTAACTCTTTATTTGAAATAGATCTTCCACAGCCACTCCGGACTATTTCTATCAAGGGCCACGATTTATTGGAGTGTTAACTAGAGGACCACAGCCCTTTTCTGCAGAGCCTAGCTTCCATGACATCCTCTCCTTTAGGATGCCATTGGAATGTTTCTCCCATAGATGTGCTTAGACAGGCCCCGTGAGAAATGAAGAGGAAGAGGCCTCGCATTCATTCTAAGAATATGGTTCATTTGGCAAAAAAAAAAAATCACATCCGTTAACTATCAGAGGTTAATTTCTAATTTCAGAAGTACTAGCTGTTTGTTCTGGTCCCAATCTCAGGGAGTTTCAGGAGTCATGGTGACCTCATGCAACTCTTGCTTTCTGTCTCAGCTCTTCTGTCCTAATTTCTCTACCCCATCCCAGGGTGGCTCCCAGAAGCCTAGTCCAGTCTCTTTGTAATGAGTGTGAGGAGGCGCAAGGATTATGGAAGAAAACATTTATTCTCTCTGGTTAAGGTACAAATGTAGCCCCGTCTGTCTCAACCCGTTAACTTCTTCCTGAGCCTTGGATCATCCCCCTTCTCAGGTACGCTCTCTGAATGTAAGTCCCTGCTTCGAAACTCTCTTGCGATGTAGTTGCTGAACACGAGCTGCTGAAGGCTGCTGTGGTCCAGGGGCTGCTCGACTGCATCAAAGACAGGACTTGTGTGAGGAGTTTGGAAATGAATCCCAGCGTGGGGTGGGTGTAGATAGCTTCCCCCCCAGGGATGGTGCCTCTCTGCCCCATTCATGGACGCCCAAGGCAAGGACGTCCAAGCCTGGTTTGGGGACCCTCCACACTGCTGGGAGTGGAGTGTGAGCATTCTTGAGGTTCAGGGGGAAAAAGCATCAGTAAAGATGTACTGCACAGGGATGCGCAAGACAGTAATTGGTTTTTCTCCCAGAAGAGGATGTGATGGCGAGTTTAGTTTAATGTCAAAGAGACAGGGCCACCATGTGCAGTTGTTCAGGATGTAGACTGCACGGACATCTGGTGGAGACAAGTGAATGAATGGATGGGCTGAAATCCAACCCCCACTCAATTGCCAAACCATGTCCACACAGAAGGGGCCCCTTTTCTCAATCTGTTCAGAGGGGGTGTCCTTTTGAATTCACACATATGGGCCATAGAGACTAGTGTTAAGAGAACCCAATGATTATCAACATTCGCTTGAGCAGAAGTGAAGGCATCATCTGTAAGTTCCTGACCTTGTGAGGGCAGCATTACAAGCAGCTGGGTCCGCCACCCTCCTCTTAGGAACTCAAAGGCTCAAGGGAAGCAGTGTTAGGGTGGCTAATGCCAGACCCAGCTTTCACTCCTGCTAAGTTTCAGTTGCCTCGACTAAATCAAACAGGAGTGGGTGTGTGTGTGTGTGTGTGTGTGCACGTGCGAACACACATCTGTGTGTTGGCACTCTTCCCCTACTCCCCCACCCCATCACTGACACACCCGCACACTTGAAGGGCTACTTAGAGAAGTGGGACAACTTTTTTTTTTAAATCCAGTTTCCTCTGATTACTAAAGATGTTCAAGATCATTGTAAAAAAATTTTTTTTAAACAATACAGAATTGTTTAACTTAGAATTTCAAAGTTCTCTGTAAATCACAAGAACCCACCGTAAGTCAGCCTTAATATAAATCCTTTGTTTTTACATGCATTATCAAGACACCTCCCTCCTTCCCTCCCTACTTCCCTCCCTCACTCCCCCTCCTCCTCCTCCTTCTCTCTGTCTCTCTCTCTCCCATTATATACATCTCTTGCCCTATTATACCTCAGGGCTGTCAAGGGCTGTCTTGTACACTGCAGGACTTTTGCCAGCATTCCTGGACACTAGATGCCAACAGCATCCCCCACCTCCCAGCTGCGCCAAACAAAAATATCTCCGGACATTGCCAGAAGTCCTCTGAGGGGTAAATCACTCCTGGTTGAGGATTACTGAATATGAATATATATATATATATATATATATATATATATATATATTCCTATAATCCATATATATTACAATTATATCTATAACTTATATACCCTGTGTAAGAGAGGGAGTTTATAGGGTCCCGCTGCATTCTTTTCCGTGTCTGCATAGCATTCCTATGCATGGATGGGTGAACGGTAATTCCAGAAACATTAACTCAAGTAGGACGATGGACTGCAGTGAACATCGTCCTACTTGAGTAAATGTTTCTTGAAGGACCAGTTTGCACGGGTGAGATTATGGGCCTAATGGGTGTATCCAGGTCTCAGGGTTGTCACACCTGGGGCCACACTGCCCTCCCAAACCCAGATGGGGCTGATTTTCTCTCCACCTCCAGAAAGAAGGGCTGCTTCCCGCAGTGAGGGGAGCATCATGCACTTCTGCCTGGGAAGAAGCTTGGCCACTGGGGCCACTTAAGCATCTGGGTCTAGTCACCAGCTGAGCCACAGCTGCTTTAGCCAGGAGGTTGGGGGACATGGTGGGGGCGGCCCAAGGGTGGTCAAGGAGGAGTAAGACTCAGGGGCATGGGATAAGGGTGAAAGACGGGATCAGGGATTCTTGTGTGCTGCCAGTTTGTAAACTGTGGACATTTTAAGGTTCATTTTAAATGGTCACAAAGTAGTGATTTAAAATATGTATATATCCAGGATCACTAAAGTCCGGGATCTTCATTGTGCTGTAGGGAGAAGCACCCCCCCCCGGCGAAACAGGTCCAGGGCCACAGCCACAGTGGAACCCAATGAGGCTCCTAAAGGGAAACTGAGGCTCTACACTGCAGACTCTCCCCAGCACAGGTCTCCTAGCAACCTGCACAGGTCGAGGAAGGACAAGGGCTCACCTTCATCCAACCTTTCGCCCAAGTGGTCAGCCCCGAACACTGGGGGGATGACCTTGATGGGTTCTGCAGGCTTAAGGAGGGCAGAGCCGCCCCAGAAGGGGTTGACGAAGGGTGGCTGGGTCTCGGTTTCTGCCCCTTCCATTTCCAGGATCCGCTTGTAGGACTCCAGCAGCAGTAGGTCATTGGTCTTCTTTTCAATGATGGCTGGGAAAAAAAACTGATCAGAACCAAGATGGCAGCCCAGAGACCTGGGTCGGGGGTGGGGGTGAGGTGGGGTGGGGGTGGTGGGATTGGGGGTGACGTCCCCTGCTGGAGAGGAAGGGAAGGGACAGGAAGAGGCGTCTCTCATGGGCTACACCATGCATCCTCCAGGGGGCAGTCTCGTCCCGAGAGCAAAACTTGGTTGTTTCGAGACAAACAAAACAAACAAACCCCACCTGACTTTATAACATAAAACAGATATACATACAGAACGTAAACGACTATATAGTGTACCAAGAGTGTTAAAACTGCCTGAGGACCACAACTGGGGAAAGAATGTCTAAAAAGACTCCTAAAGAGGCAATAGTGAAAGGAGGTTGAGAAGCACTGGGTTACACCAAAAACTGGGAGTCCCGGGCAGCCCCTTAAACGCCTGATTTTTCTCTCTCTTTTTAAAAAGATTTTATTTATTTATTTGACAGAGATCACAAGCAGGCAGAGAGGCAGGACAGGAGAGGGGGAAGCAGGCTCCCCGCCCAGCAGAGAGCCCGACGCGGGGCTCAATCCCAGGACCCTGAGATCATAACCTGAGCCAGAGGCAGAGGCTTAACCCACTGAGCCACCCAGGCGCCCCTACAACTGATTTTTCTCCGTGCACTCTCTGTCTTAGGCTTCCCGACCTTTGCTCACGCTGTTCCTTCTGCCCAGCATGCCTTTCCCTACACCCCTCCCCCAATAATGCCTGCTGGTGTTTTAAGACTTGGATCAGGGCTCTGCCCCCTGCAGGAACGTTTCTCTGAGCAGCCTACTCTGGGGACCTGCCCCTCCTCTGCGTTTCAGAGCCCTGTGCACTCACCAGAGTGGTGCACTCATTCACCCACTCAACAAATGATTATCAGACACCTGCCATGCCAGGCGCAGTGCTGGAAGTTCCCCAGGCGTGTGGGGAACCAAAAGGACAGGAACAGTAACTGGGAAGATGCAGGCCCTGACCTGATGAAGCCCATAAGCTTCAGTGCGTGTGAGAAGATGGAGAGAAAGACACATTTACCAAGGAACCTTGTTATCCAGATGATCATTAGCTAGATTGTGTAACCACTGGATTTGGATATAATGTGGTTTTTTAAAAAGATTTTATTTATTTATTTGACAGAGAGAGACACAACGAGAGAGGGAACATAAGCAGAAAGAATGGGAGAGGGAGAAACAAGCTTCTCACTAAGCAAGGAGCCCGATGTGGGACTTGATCTCAGGACTCTGGGATCATGACCTGAGCTGAAGGCAGCGGCTTAACCAACTGATCCACCCAGGCATCTCTGGAGAAAGGACATTTAAACTGAGATCTGAGAATTCTAAGACAAGGATACCAAGAACAGCGTGTGCAAAGGCCCTGAGGTGGGAATGCGTTGAGGAGAGGTTGCAAGAATACGCAGGAGAGTGTGACGTGAGGTGGTAAGCAAGGACAGAGAGTAGGATGAGGGAGGTGAGAAATGGAAGCAAGGGCCAGGCTGTGCAGACCCTGATAGGCGGTGGGCAGGAAAGAGTTAACACAGCAGTCTGACTGCTGTCCTTTGAAGGGCCTGCTTCCCAGGTTGGCCCCAGGGTGGCATCAGGGAACTTGGGTTTCAGGAAGGTTCCTATCATCATTAACTGATTGATAATAGCAGCTCGATGTGCCTAAACTGTGTATACAAAACATGTTTCTGCTAAACACCTGGGTTTTTTTTCCACATCACGGGCACAGTCTCTCTAGTGAGCTTCCCTGGTGGACAACATTTCACCTACATTGTCACAACACAGTGCCGCGGGGATTAGCACATTCTGTGTGACCCTGCTGGGAGGGG